ATCAATCTGTTGAGAACTCAGCAGCTGTGTGGATGGCAGAGATTTTGCAGAAGATGTTGCTGGGAAAACAATCCCAGAGATGTTCTGTCCCTCTCTAGAAACTGTTTCAGTTAAGGCAGTAGATGGAGGGAGTGTTCAGTGACAGAGATGAGGGTTCGGGGGACACATGGCCCACGTGACAGCTGTAGGAGAAGGAACCACACAGCAGGGTGAGGAAGGAAGTTCAGAAAAAGAAAAATGATTGGATGACCTCAAGAGGGATGTCAGCCCTAAGCTGGCCTTTCCAGTGGCCACTGAATATGGTCATGCTGTTGAGCTCAGAATAGGCAATGTCAAGTAAGAAACCACCTTTCTGGGACGGTTCATGGACTTAGCTGCTGCTCTGCGGTGTGACCTACGGAAAGTTACTGCCCTTCTCTGGGCAGTTTCCCCTCTGTGAAATGGGGACTGTAGTAATCGGAGAGGCACAAGTGAGAACTCATTGAAAAACCTACAGTCCAGTGCCCAAGGCTGTGAGACACAGGGTCCCTGGTCATCACTTTGCTGGTACTGGGGCAATGAATGGGCCAACCGAGTTACCCAAAGATCCTAGACCCCCTCACTAGCCGCTCCCTGCCCAGCTCTACTCCTAGTCACAGGGTCTCCCTGGGAAAGGGCCCAGTGTCCTCATCCACTGATAGGAACACAGTGCCAACCATGAGCATTTCAGACCCCATAGCAGGGAGCAGAGGAGGGAGGCCTCGGCTACAGCACACGGCACAGGCCCCACGCCTCAGGCCTGGCAGAAACCCCGGCCTTGGAGGCTACAGTCATAGCCACAGGGACCTCCTCTCTCCCAAGGAGTCCTTGCCCACCCTTGGTTCCACGTGCCAGGACTGCCCGGCTTACTGAGGGTGGGCAAGGGGCTGACCTCAACCTCCTGTGCTGCAGTGAAGCTGTGAGTCTGTTTCCTGGTGGCTCTGGGACTCAGTCTCCACACCACCTTTCTTCTCCGGCTTGGGCTCTGCCCGTGGATGCCAGCTTTTCTCAGATGCCCCTCTCCTCTGTGGTTTCTAGGCTGTGGCTGAGATCTGGGGGCAGATGAGGCAGAGGCTGACCCTATAGAGGGCAGGGAGGCAGGGCAGGTACCAGGTATGGGGTAGCTTGGCTCTGTCCAGGGAAGGGGAGGCACGTGTCCAGCACCGACCACACTGAGCCTTTTACATGCTTGTCAATTTTAACCCTCCCAGCCAGCTGATGGGGGAGGACTTTTATTCTCCTTTTTTGCAGATGAGGCCCAGAGAGGTGGAGTAACTTGCCCAAGGTCACACAGCTAGTATAATGTGGAGCTGAGATTTATTCGCAGTATTCAGGCTCCTGAGTCTACAGTCTGAACCACTGATTTGGGGACAGTGAAGACCACAGGATCCTGTGAGTGGAGGGGAAGACTAACTGAGGTAGGAATCCAGAGAGGATCAGGGTCAGGGTGGAAGGAGCTCGAGGTGGGGAAGAGATTTGAGGTGGAATGCAGCAGGGGTCCTAGGAGCCCGTACCCCCCAGGCCCCATGTTGGTGCAGTGTCTGGGCCCTATCCATGTGCCCCTTCCCTGAGAGCCTCTGCCTTGCTGTGAGTTTGGCCCACTGGCTGCTCCCCATAGGACACCCCCTGCCTGCCCATGACCCAGAGCCAAATTCTAGGTCACCCTCCCTGGACAGGCCCAGGGCCTGAGGTACCCACTTAAAGAAGGCAGGTGTCACAGGGATGAAGAAATGGGCTGGGCAGTCCCCCAAGGGGCTAGAAAGCCCTAGAGTTGGGGCCAGAATTTGTGCTGGTTTGAAGGTCAGTTGCATGTTATTTGCATAGGGCTTACCTGGTTCCATTTCCTTACCTTCCTTTCAGAAGCCTGAATGCGCCCAGGGGGCCCCGCCTTCAGTCACCCTGTGACTGCTTTCTTGCTGACACTATCTACCTCCAGCCCCTAACTTGACCCGTATGCACGCCCCATAAAGAACAGAATTCCTCCAGGCCCCAAGGAGACAACCACCTTGGAACCTCAAGGGTCTGGGCTGATGCACAAAAGCCAAGATTTTTCTCCTGGACACACATACAGCGCAGACTGTCACTGCACCCCTGCTCCCCTGAGGATCCGAAAGCCCTCGCCAGCACAGAGCAGGGCCCCAGTGGGAGACAGACTGCTTTAGACCCATCCCGCCTTTTATGAGACCCAAGGCCAGCTGAGCACTCCTTCCAGCCAGACAACAGCAGGGACCCGATCCTGGGTTCTGACAACTCTAAGTCCCTGGGCTCTGAGCCGTGTTCTTGGTGCCTCTGTTCCTCTGTGTGTGTGCACATCTGGGAGCTTGTGCTGTGTCTCTGGCTGAGTGCGTGATGGGTATCTTGGTGGTATGTGTGTGTGTGTCCATCTGTCTGCCTGCCTGTGCACACACGTTTGCCCAGGACACGGCGGACACTGGCCGGGAGGAGGCAAGCGCCACGCTGGAGGTGAAGTCAGATGGACAGGGACTGGGACGCCGAGTCCTTGCTCTGGGCCCTGTCCCGCCTTTCACAGTAACCCCATCACCCACTCCACTTCTTATTCGTGTCAGGGACTGTTTACGACACCCCACCTCCACATCTCTCCTCACTAGGCCTTTGTACGTGCTCTTCTCTTTTGCTGAAATGCCCCTTTGTTCCTTTGCTCCAGGAAGATGCCTGTTCATCTTTCACGGAGGGTTCAGAGATTCAGAAACCCCCTCCACGGGGTGGACTTTCCTATCTGCTGTCTCCCCCGCCCCACAGCTCCCATAGTGCCTCTCCCATCACCGGGCATGTTAAATTGTAATTGTGTGCTCGATTGTGTGACCCCAAACCATAAGCTTTTGGGGCTGATGGGTGGTCTGATCTGGATTTGATTCTCCTCTGCACAGACAAGGGCTGGCCATGTGGTAGGTGCTTAGTGAAGGCATGCTGAATGGATGGATGATGGGAGATGGAACATAATGAGGGAAAGGCAGAAGGGAAGGAAGTGTAGCATAAACGTAGGAGGCATCCTAAGAAGGGGGAAAGATCAGCTGGCTTGCCCTGGGAAAGACCCGGCAGCGGGGAAGAGAATGGGGAGGATGCGGTTGTGGGAAGGAAGAGAAAAGTGGACAGAGGGCACCCACATGGGGAAGCCAGGCCTTATTCTGTCTCTGGAATTGCAATTCTTCCTCTTTAAATTTCAGGGCAACTGCCACCTGGTGCCAGTATGCCTTCCAGTACTCAGCCACCTTCTCGTGAAGCCTGGGAGGTGATTCTGCCTCCTGTAGCTCTTTGCTGAGGGGCACTGATACCTCCCGGACCTGGAACGTGCTTGTAGAAATGCAGCAACCTGGAAGCAGCGTACGCCCCAGATCGCCCCCACGTATTTTCAATGATTTCTTTCCAAGTTGCATGGTTGTCCTCATTATGTCTTGGCTGGGATGGGAACTAGAGCAGAGGTGCCTCCCTGCACACAGAATCCTCTGTCCTGGACACTTCTGTACCCAAGCATCCTGATTTGAGACAAGTAGCTAAGGTTATCTCACCCCCGTGACCCCCCACTTCCTGGCCCCGGGCCAGCAGGAGGGGCTTAGCATGTGCAGGGGAGACGGGACTTGCTGAAGCTGAAAGATTTCTCACAGGCTCCCTTCAAAGAGCCAGAGCCAGACTCCTGGGGAAGGGAATCTGGCTTTGACTATGTGATTCAGGGTTTGGGGCTCTGGGCTATTCCAGCTGGTGACGGAGACTGGTCCACATCCTGCCCACAGGGCCCTCTCATCCAGTGAGAGCCGGACTCGCACCCACACCTAGCTTGGGCCCTCTTAAGGCTGGGCGCAAGCAGCCACTTAACAGGTCTCCCGGCCGGGGGCTATGCCCAGTGCTACCAGCAGCCTGGTGCGCCCCGCCTCCAGGGCCCGCACTCAGCTCCCCGGCACCATCTGCTCCCCCTTGCAACTGCTGCAGCTGCTCCAAGTAGAGCCCTAGTCAGTGGTGGCTCTGACCAGCTCTTCCAAGAGTCTCTTGTTCACCTGTGAAGATCTCAACTCCACCCAGAGTCAGAGCTCAGCCTCCACCAGGGCTGGGGGGCTCCCCTGGCTGGAATCTGTCTGCTCAAGCTAGCCCCCAGGTCTTTACCCAGGCAGTCCCTCCTCCCAGGGCCCCTCTAGGACTCAGCCCTCTTAGGAGGGGTTCTCCTACCACTGCAGTCCACAGAACTTCCCCAAACTCCAGTCTTGGACTCTGGATCAAACAACTGAAGTCTGGACCATCCATACTCGGCTGCACATCATCAAAGTGTGTTGTTTGAGTGGGCCAGTGTGTGAATGGCATTTGCTGGAATTGTGTGTGTGGAGGCCCTTCTCCATCTGTCCCTTTTGGTCATTCTCTTTTCCATGGTGTCTCTAGAGCTCCCCATCCCAACTTCAGAATCCCCCAAGGACAGGGCCTAGGCTCCCCTGCTTTGCCCCCTGGCACAGGTGGGCACAGCCTGGCTCAGTTGGTGCCCTAGGTTCTCTGCAGGGCTGACCGTGTTAGCTGTTGGACCCACCTGGGTGAGCATCAACAGCTGTTCCTGCAGGAAGATAGTGTTCTGAGCCTTGGCAGGGGTCTCAGCTGCCCTCCTCAACACTGTCTGGGCCCCAAAGTACATGGGCCCTGTCCCCATCCCAGCTCTGCTCCTGGCCCTGCAGGCCTGGCACCAGCATCTCCTGCAGGTACATTGAGTCCAGGATCCTGGGGTCTCCTCCCAGGTTCCAGAACACACTGTTAAGACTCTGAACAGGTTCTTCCCTACCCTCTGGGCTCCATTTCTCCATCTGCACGAGGGGGGCAGTTGGCTGCATGATTGCAGGGTCTTCCCAAATGTTGGGGGAATCCCTCTGGACTGAACAGAAACCCCTGCACTGCACTTCTTACCCAGCTACTGCTTCAAGAATGAAGCCCAGAGAACGAAGTATAAGGCAGAGCCAAAGGTGTGGCAGAGCCAGTGTTCAGGACCCTGCCACACACCCACTTGGAAGAGGGCTCTGGTGTCATCCCTACCCCAGTGATCCAGTCTCTTGGCCAAGGGGTTGCCGGCTTATCTTGTGCAAACATTTCTGGGCCTTTCCCACTGTTGTCTGCATCAGCAGGATCCTAGGGGCAGAAGGGACTGTCTGCCTGCCCTCTGCCACACTTCCCCTCCCATCTCTGGGCACCCTCACTTGTCTTCTATGTCCTGGTCGGGCCTCCACTCCTGTCCCTGGGATCCTCTCCTGCTCCAAGCCAGCCAGGAAGCATTCCACCTGCTGGTGGGGGGGCCCAAGGAAGCACGGAGCCCCTGGCCAGGGCTGTCTTCCACTCCCACCCCAGGCACAGCAGTGTCTGCAGGTACTGATAAAGCAGGCTGACTCCTCAAGGCCCTGCCTGCTGCACCAGCTGTGATAAACACAGCTAGGGGCCCAGCTGAGAGCTTGGCATGGGTCTGTGCCTGGCTTGTACGTGAGGGGCTGCTCAGGCTCCGATGTGCAACCCTCCACCTCCAGCTGGACCCGAAACATCACCTCTCCACCTCAGCTGTTGGCGGCTTTGGAGTGATAGCCAGACGCCTTGGGGTGCTGCTGTAGGATATTAGAGAGTGGGCAGTCCTGAAGACACAGGTGGTCAAGGGGGCCACCCCAGGCCTGGAAGGGAGGGGCCCCAGGAGGGTCATCTGTGGGCTGTGACCTGCAGGCCCCTAGAGGCTTAGGTACATAGGCCGTCACGGGGTAATGCTGCGCCCACCCTCACACAGAGCAGGTGTGCTGGTGGCTCCCCAGCACCCTCAGCTCACAGAGGCCCCATCTCCCCGGGGAGTGTGGCTTTCACTAGGAGCAACTGGGCTTCTAGGGAAGCACTTCTGTCCACTCAGCTAAAACCAGTTGCCTCCCTCCCTGACTGCCCCTGCCACAGCAGGCCACGCAGTGAGCACCCCCAGGGGGCGCCATTCACAGAGATGACCCTTCAGCACAGTAACCCTGCGGGGACTTGACTTCCCTTTCTCCTTTGGATACTGCAGACTCTGACAAGCCTCTTCCTGGCACCAGCGCTGAGCATTCTGCAGCTTTTAGTCTGGTAAGGGGACCTTGCTAGCTCGGGACCTCCCTGGCATTGCCAACACATGAGGGGAATCAGGGAGAGAGGGCGGGAGCCTCATTTTCTGTTTCAGAGCCAGAGCGCACAGCGGGTCCTGCCGAGTCCCAGTTTGCGACGTCCCCTCTGCGGCACCTGTGCTTGTTCCAATGGGACCTCCTGTGCTGCCCACAGGTGGCCACCAGCTCGGCCCGTGGCCACCTGCTCTCTGCCAGCTACACCTGAAGGTTCTCTGACTGCCACGAGGCCCTCTTGGGGGCCCTGTCTGAACACCTGCCAGAGAGAAAGAAGCCAGGCTTCCACTGGGGTCCCAGGGGCTGCTGTGCCCACCCCCAGCCCCACCTGCATACTTCAGTGGGGCTAGTGGGCTGGCAAGTCCAGTGAACAAAAGTAAGAGGAATGCCCGGGACAGCAGGCAGGGCTGGGCCTCAGGTCCGTGGAGCTCTGCCTAAATGGGTCCTGAGAGCAGGACAGATGGGGGACCTTGGAGCTGGGGCAGTCGTCCCCCCTCTCCCACCAGTCCCAGAGCACCAGCCTCTCTCCAGATGTAGAAACTGAGGCTCTGGTGATGAGTGTGAGTGTAAGTCTTCAACCCCAAGTCCTTGGTCCAGGGTTTTCCCTGGTGGTTCAGATTTCAAATAAATACCAGCCCCAACCCTGTGAAGCAGTATTCAGTTCCAGTAGTTTCCATGAGCTGTGGGTGCTGACCACAGCCTGGCCATGCGCTGAACAACCAGGCTGGCCATGCGCTGAACACCCAGGCTGGTTGGGTCCTCCCGGGTCTGGGGCAGTGGCACTGAAGGCTGAAAGGGAAGTCAGTGACCCCGGGTCGTGCAGGGAGTTCACTGGCAGACTGGGCCCACATTTCCCAACCCCTGGTACTCTCCTTCCCTGTGTGGGCATCTGGAAACAGTAGGGGTCAGGAGAACATTTGGGGGACACTGTGGTTTAGCCCTGATATTGGGGTCAGAGGCCCTCAAATCAAGTCACTGCTCTGGTATCTCTGGCTTCCATGGTTTCAGCTGTTAAGATGGGGGCCCCTGGCCCCATGCCCCAACAGCTTACTAAGGAAAATGGTGGTGGCATTCCTAACTCCACTCCTCCGTACCCCCACCCACTTCACCTCCAGAGCTTGGGCCTCAGAATCCTACTGCTGCCTCCCACCCACACCCATGGGCACCAGGCGCCCTGTCCCAGCTCTGTGCGGGTACAGGAAGAAGGCACCCACTGAGAGAGGGTGCACTAGGCTGAACTCCCCTAACCCCAAGTGACTCACCCACTCCTCACATTGCCACACCTGTTCCCTGTTCAGGATTGACCACCCACAGGCTCTCTCCCCTCTAGACACCTTAACTCTCCTCTCCCCTGACTCCAGGCCCAGATTCTTGCAGGCCCCTCCAGAGCTGTCTCCCACAGGTCAGGCAAGGCTTCTCCAAAATGGATGAGGACTGGCCCCTGCCCCAACCTCCCATGCCCTGGGGCAGCACCTGCACCCTCACTCTGGCTGGGTATTCTCCCATTTAGAAATAGGGGCTCTCCACAGGCAGGCCCCAGCCCTTACTGAGAACCCGAGTTCTGCCGGGCTTGTTTTGGAAGGGCTCATGGTCTGCTGCAGTGGGGAGCAGTACAGGCCAGACTGTCGAGCTTGCGGAGCCAGCCCAGAGGACAGCACAGCCCCTGAGTGCTCTGGGAGCACAGGGAAGGGGAACGGGCTCTCCCTTGGGGCTCCCAGGAAGGCTCTCCTGGGCTGAGGTTTGTAGGGAATGAACTGCCTCCAGAGAAGGTGGTTGTGGCGAAAGAAGAGACCAAGGGCGCAGGACAAGGTGGGGATCAGAGAAGCCGGGGCCTGGATGGGGCGGCGGGAGCCCAGGAGGACCACAGGGAGGTCACGAGGGGCAAGAGCTGCTGTGGGTTTCCGGTGGCTGGGGGTGAGTGGCAGGGTAGGGCATCTTCCAGGTGCCCTGGAATCGGGCTGCTGTCCTCAATCCGCATAGAGAAAGACGTGCTGGGCACAAGGGCTGCGGCCTGGGGAAAGAGCCTGGGCCCGAGGGGCAGAGAATATGAATGCGCAGCGAGCCTCTGGAGCTGGGTCACCCCTGAGCTCCCCGGGCGCGAGCTGCCATGTTCTTAGCCCTGCAGCACGGGAGGAATGAAGTGGGGGGCTGCGGGGGAGGTGGGCAGAGTCACCCACACTTCACCTCAGGGTAGATCTTTTTC